CAGTAATTGATAGCACGAAAAAGATCTCTCACTGCTGAATTGCCCTGAGTGCCGATTATAGGTATTGTCCTCCATCTGCAAATGGTGGCATGTCCATATGAGTGAAAAAAAATTAGAGAGAGACTGGGGGTCGTTAAACAATAAATACAAACAAACCTTGTTTTTAATTAATTAAATTGCACAAATATAAAAAAAATTGACAAATTAAGATTGATGTACACGAAAAAAAAATTCTAAAGAACTTTATTCGGTAATAACCAATATTTGCCCCCCAAATCAAACTTATATGGAGATATATTTAATTAAGTTCTTAAACAGGGGAGTATATGCTGACTTCAAAGCACTGAATATTTTCATAAGTAATGGCGCCATATGTACGTAATGACGTCACAAACATGACGTAAATTTCAGTTTTTTATGAATTTTACAGAAAAATGGACATATTTAGTCGATATTTTGAGTAAAAGTCATCGAGCGCATGTGTGTTCAGGATCAATATTTTGATATAATGTGTAGAATGATAATATCCATAAAATATGTCAATATTGTTCCTGAACAAACTTGCGCTCTATAAATTTTAAAGCTAAAATTGTTGAAATTTTGTCCATTTTGTCCTCTTTCTGAAAAAGGATATAAAATCGGACTAGTTTGTGACGTCATAAAAACGAAAATTGTGAATACACTGCTTTGACACTACAATATTTTCTGTTAATTTATATTTCTCATACAATTTATTGAATTCAGCACATTTCAGGAAGTTTTCAAAATTTGACTTTTGTGGGGGCAAATATATGAAATATACCGCATATAGTTCTTTTTTGATGTGCTATAACACATAAAAGTTTCATGAAAATCCATCAAGCCGTTTTCGAGGTGTCTTTCCACTTAGCCAAAATTATGAAAAAAGTACAGGTGACTGGTTTTGGCTAGGTGGGAATGGTGTACAGGTAAGGGGAGGGAGAGAACAAAAGAAATTAATTACAGGTGACCTATAGTATGTTTCAGATGAACCCCAGAAAAAGTCTGTCAATTATTTGAACGGTATTGAATTTAATATTAATAAATTCATATTTTCAATTATTCAAATTAATTATTTTTAATAAAAAGTAATTTTTTTTTTATTTTCATTTGCATTGATTTAATTTGTAATTTAAAAAAATAGTTTATTTGAATCTGGAATCTGTACCGTAAATCATGTGTTTAAATGAAAATGAGTAAATTTCTAATTCATGTAATTAAAAAAAAAATCAAATTAATGAAAACAATTGAATTTGTTAAAATGATTGCATGATAAAAAAATTGTTAATGCCAATATAGTGTTTATTTTCAAATAAACTTAATATTACAAATAAATTATGCTCATACTTGTGCAAGATCAGAGTTATATAAGTTTTTTTTTTCTCTTTTTTCAAGCTAGAAAGCTTAAAAAAAACTTTTTCATTTTCAATGTGCATCTGATACTAAGGGAGAAATCAATGTTTTTTTTTTCTTTTCTTTCATGCATAAAATGCTGAATTTTTAATCATTACAAAGGATTTTAAATGAATATGGGCATTTTTTCTAGAGACAGTGACTCTACTTCTAAAAGACATTTTTTGGTACATTATGAATTAAATATCAGTTTTGGACACTTTTAATAAACTAGTGTACTAAATAAATCAATTTATATATATTAAATGATCATTTAAACAAATTTAATGTTACAACAATTGAGGGTTTTCTGAGTTATGTTTATTTTGTTTAGATTTTTTTGTCAATAAAATACTTATTTTGAATTGCACATATGTATATAAGAAATATACTACAAACACATGTGTGCATGAAGGCACTTATCTCAATTTTACTCATGTGCGTACATAAGTTCTAATAATTAGCACTAATATTTCTACACAATAAATTAAACTCAGTTCCTTTTCATTTTTTCTATAGATCTGTTTATCGTCCTAGTTATTAAAAAGCAATAATTTAATTGATATTAAGTATGCAGTTTAAAATAATTAATAAGTAGGACTTAAGTATATTTATTAATCTTATATCTAAAACAACTATTCATGATATTTATTTATATGATTAATGAACTAGTACATCACAGGTAAATATTACAGGTAAATTAAGCATAAAACAGACTATACACAGGTGACCACCCAGGTGTGAAAATATCAATTTTGGCTAGATGGGAATAAGAAATTCAGAATTTTGGCTAAGTGGGAATAAACCGTTTTCGAGAACTTTCGTGCACAAAATCTGTGAGAGAAAAAACAAATAAGAAGAAGGAAAATAGTGGAGAAGAAACCTAAGGTTAACAACAAGGTCTTCCGCTAGAGACGAAATACACCTTTAACAGTGGAAAAGAAACCTAAGAATAACAAGAAGGTCTTCCGCTGTTTCGCATTTTTGTTTTCCACGGTTATCACATGATGAAAATAATCATGTCTTTCACAGGTGAACCCAATAATGCTGGAGGAAACGAAAATTGCTTACACTTTCGGTTGTATGATGGAACTTATTTTTGGAACGACGTACCTTGTAATGTGATTGGTAGTTATGTTTGCCAAAGTGAGTACTGTGATCACGATTTGCTAGCATTAAACAGAAAGATTATTTCTTCTTTTCTCAGAAGTTATATAGGAGGATTCTGTAAATAAATTTAACACTCTTTTGAAGTAATGATAAAAAAAAAACGTATGTCTTTCCTTTAACAATCATCTTACATTATAGTGGATAAATAAATATTAAGATAGATAAAATAAAACACTTTTTTAAAAATATAGCTGAGTCAAATACAGAACATACACACTCATGAACCTTTTTTTCGTATAAATATCTTAAAAACAAGCTCTATGATACACGTGTTGAGAGAGAAGAGTTTGCGGTATCTACAGCTAAGTGCGATGTGATTAGAATGATGATTACCGAAAACATGAAAACTATATTTTATCATATCATGCACACTGTGGGATGTGAAAACCAGTCATTCGGATGAGACTGTATAACCTGGGGTCCCATTTCGCAGTGGGTGTTGGCACGAAAATGACCTCCTCATTGCTCAATGGCCGTAAGCGACGATTTTAAGACAACAAATTGCAGCCTTCCAATGGCCAGTAGTGGCTTCTCAATATGAGTGAAACATTTTTGATAGGGTCATTAAACAACACACAATTAATCATATACATAAATGTTTTTGTCATATATATGAGGTAAACTTTATCCACGGATAGATCCTTTATCAATACCACTTCCTGTTTTGACACGATCTCTCGCTGCAAGATTTTTTTTTATTGAATTGTTTTATTTGAGGAAATCATTGCCCTTATAAAATGAATGATAAAGAGCAATGATGTTGTTAAAAGCAAGAAAAAGACTCGTACAGTGGACCTCTAGATATCCGGACCCCAGATATCCGGATGCTTCAGTATCCAGACGATTTTTCGTCAGGACAGAATTTTTAAATGTTATTTTGTCCAGTTTAACTGGTGATCCAGGTATCCGGACGCTTCAGATATCAAGACAAATTGATTAAGAACCAAAGCCTCTGGACAAATGAGGCTCCACTGTATATGTCAAAGAAGTGTCTTATTTTATCAAAGTACCCCCCCCCCCTTTCCCTCCTTAAAACGTTCTCGGAGAAAGTAAAGCCTTGCAGTTAAGTTGTTGTTTTAAGATTCCTTTAACATCTTCTGTAATGTTTTTTTTTATATTATACTACGTATGCCTACCTGGTAGTGTAGGTGTAACGTCATGGATCAACAATGAATCTATACAAGTAGCCAAACCCTGCCTAGCACGTTTTGTACTGCCTTCGTACAAAGAGTTAATTTTCACGATCACTTGGTCCTTACAACTTTCAGTCAGAAGTTCGTTTGATTTGAAACCCCAGCAATTGTCAAATACTGTTTTTAAAGACACAGATATGAAAAAAATTCTAAATTTTGAACACGATCTACTTTCTTTCGTTCAAGATCAACAGTGCTACGACATCAAATTATACGTCATCAATTTGAATTAAAATTCATTCATGTAGTTTTGCAGGAGGACTCTCAAAGCTTTGTTAAGATCAAAAGATAGATAGAACATCTATAATTGTGTGATTTGATATTTGCTTTATCTTACTCGTTAAAATTGTGTATATTCGCTCGGAAAGCCTCACGAATATACTCACAATTCCAATTCATTGGATAAAGAAGGTCACCGGATAAAGCCAATATAAAATCTCTCAATACAGATATCCTCTGTTGACAAATTATGCTTTTGTTGTTAGTTAGAAAGTGTTACGAAAATTCACGTTATTTTGTTTTTTCATATGGGACTATTTATATGAAATTGTTGTTTGGTTATTCGAAATTTTAATTGACATGAAAATTGTGTTTTGTTTTTAGTCACAAACGAGTCTACTACAACTCCACCAACGGAGACAACTGTGACAACTTACGGTAAAAACAACAAATTAAATTTCCTTTTACCGTGCTATTTTTTTTGGCGTAAATGTCAAAAGAGAGAGATCGGATGGTTTTTTTTCCATATACTATGTTGAATTAATATATATTGAACAGTAGTTATGTATATGTGTATAAGTGAATAAAAAGGAGACCTCTTTTTAAAGTAAGCTGATTTTTATATGATGACTTTTTAAACTCCCTTTTGTGAGGACATGGCACACATAAACTTACACATGGAGTGTGTGTCAATAATATAAACAAACATTTACAAGCGCATATTTGAATTAAAGTTTTTAAAGTAAAGCGTTTTATAGTAAGCTGATTTTTAAATGATATTCTCTTCTATAGTCCCAATAACTCCATTACGTGATGAAAGGCCACACATGGACGGTGTGCCGAGGATTGAAAACATCAAAGACATGGTATATAATGTCATAAGGACAACTGTAGTATATTATTTATAACAACCAAGTAAATAAAATAATGTTTGTACACTTCATAATAGCATTACTAAAAAGACTTTAATGCATCTAATGCATTTTGTATAATTGTTTTCTAGGTCGATTCAGCTCTCCAAGGAAATTTATCAAAGACAGAAATAAAGCAAACGATAGACCATGCACTTCTAAACTTACAAACACTTTCAACAGACAGCGAACAAACTCCTGAAGACTTAGATAATTCAATAGATTTGCTGAATAAAATTGTTGATGTTTCCAATAGGTCCAACGTTACACTTCGAAAGTCGGTATGATATATTCATGATTGTTATTTTAAATGTACGAGAATTCGAGAAATGTCTCCTCATAAACAGATGTCATAGTATAAGGTGAATGATATTTAGTTTTTATAATCTCATCTCATCACTCATGTAAACAACAAATTTTCATTATTCATTTTGGCATTCAGCTGATTGTGACAACAGTCGACAATATACTAGGAGAAAATCACACTGCTGCTTGGAATAACACTTCTACAAAGGAGGTAATTATCATTGTGATAATTAATTAAGCAATATCTGTATTAAATTAGGATAAAACATTACTCTCTTATTATTATCCAGGTTAGTGTAAGAGTCAATAAAATCTTCAAGACCGTGGACAAAATAGGATTGTATCTCTTAGAGAAGGTCAACGAGAACGAAAGCATCACATTTAACTCAACAAAAAATATTGGTAAGGTGACTTAATACTGAATAAAGTAAAACTAGTTACATTTATTTTTAATTGGTTTTCCACTTTCATCTTCTTAAGGTCTCACGCTACATTCCTCAGAAATCTGTTTTGTATATCTTCGTAATATATAAACATTAAATTAAATCAATTTAATGTAATATTTAAAGTGGTTTCTAATTGTATAAAAAAAACTTGAGTTATTTTCAAAAGTATTATATTGGGAACATCATCCTCTAGCCAGTATATTGCACAAATGCCTGGTAGGTAGTCTAAGTACCTAAATTTTGGTGAGTAAACATTGTTATCAGTCATATCAGTTAATAGCATCAGTCCAATGACAAAATCTCGGAAAAAAGTATATATTATTTAGGAACTTATCGTCTGTCCTTAAAAATTTTTTTTAAAAGACAATAATCATTTTTTATTCCATTTTCTTAGTTTTTACAGTTGCAAAGATTCCAGCAGATCAACCCGTTAATTTCCCAGAAAACAATACCATCCTAATTTCATCGCTAGTGTTTCCAGTACAAGCTAATGGTTTTAATCAAAGTAATATCAGTTCCTTTATACAACCCTTTTTTCATTCAATATTTTCTTGGCTGTCCTGAAAGCAAAAAGGTAACATTTTCTTCAAATAAAATTTAGGTATTCCCTACCTTGCAGTGAAGTATACAACACTAGCAAAAAATTTGAATGACAACAAAAGGTAAGAAGTTCTAGATAAATCGAGATATGTACGTATGCTTAAATTATAGCCAATATTCTTATCAATAAGACAAATCGTTTTTTCCAGAGTGAAAGAGAACATAACACTTGAGAAAACTTTAAATGATAACAAAAGGTAAGAGGTAAGAAGCTCTGAAAAAATCTACGCATATTTGCTTAATTTATAGCTAAGGTGTGCATCTGATAATAGATTTGTTTGTTTGATCTTTTTTAGAGTGACAGAAAATTCAGGATACGATATTTCTTCTGATATCATGTCATTAACTCTCAAAGACCCTTTAATTGGAGGAACATTAGACCAACCAATACATTTAAAGTTTTTAAAAGACATAAAAGGAGTAGTACGTATAACTCTTATCAATAGTCAACATTAAGTTCTGAGGACACGTTCCTAATATAGATGTTTTGTATCTCTTGGTATTACATTAAAAAGTTTTTCCTTTTTGTCATTCTCTTCTGATATTTAAATTGTTTTCAAAATGTTTTTAAATATAAGTATACCAAAAATTGTGATAGAGGCCATTCAGAAGATTACCCATAAGGGTTATGTATTAAGAAATATGACCCTGTGGTATTGTTGTGAGATGTGTTGTATTTGTATTGTTTCATCTTGTATATTATTAGTAACATTAAGTTTCTTGAACATTCCAGAGTGGTCAATATGTTTGGTCATTTTATCTAGAACATTCTTAAATTTTGTGTATGTCCAGATTGTTCCAGTAATATCATGTTTTAACAATTTCTAGAATATTCTAGATTTATGATACTGTATAAATACCCTGTCAATTCAATGCATAGATATACAATAATTCTGAATAGATTGTCGTATAAGCATCATTGAGGTATTACTGGGATATAATTTCACTGGGACATTGTGTGCAGCAACGGACACTCTGATGTATGTATTTTTAGATTTTTGCTAAGTTTGTACTTAATGATTTGTATATTACTGTAAATAAATTATTGTTAAGTTTAAACTGTGTGATTGATCTTTGCTGGCATTTAGGGTTATTCTGACCCATAACAGAATTGGGGGCTCGTCCGGGATAAAGAATTTCTTGCACTTTTGCAGTTTATTGTCAGAATTTTGTTCATTGAACCGTTAAATTTGATTATAAGCCAGCAAAAATCAACATGGTATTTTCGGTCACAGACTTTCTTAGTTCACCAAGTGTTCAGGTTTTTGATACGTTAAAAAAGGATGACTTGATTGCATTAGGTTTGCATTTTGGGTTAGATGTTAAATCCTCTCAGAGAAAACAAGACATTAGAATTAAGGTTGCAAACAAACTAGTAGAAGAAAACGTCTTTGAAAAATATGATCTTCCAGAATATACAATTAAATCAGAGTTAGGCTCTTACAAAATGGCAGAATATCAGTTTCAATTAGAGTTAGAGAAAATGCGATTAGAAAGAGAAAAATTAGAAAGAGAAGATCGAGAAAAAGAAAGAGAAGAGCGAGAAAGAGAAAGAGAAGAACGAGAGCGTGAACGAAAATTTGAATTAGACAAATTAGCAGCAGAAAGAGAAGAGCGTGCAATGAACTTTGAATTAGAGAAATTAAAATTACAAAACCAACCAGAACCGTCAGTTGTCAAAACTGAATTTGACGCAGCAAAAAATATCAGATTAGTTCCAAAATTTCAAGAAAAAACTGTAGACAAATATTTTCCCCAATTCGAAAAAGTCGCAGAGAATCTTAAATGGCCACAAAATGTTTGGTCAACGATGTTACAAAGTGTACTGGTTGGCAAAGCAGCTGAGGTATACTCTGCACTAGGGGTAGCTGAGAGTTTAGATTATGAGAAGGTCAAAGCAGCAATATTAAAAGCATATGAATTAGTACCTGAAGCATATAGACAAAAATTCAGAAAGTATAGGAAGTTTGATAATCAAACATTTGTTGAATTTTCACGAGAGAAAGAAGATTTATTCGATCACTGGTTTAGATCTAAGAAACTTGATAAAACTTTTGCTAATTTGCGCCAAGTCATCCTGGTAGAAGAGTTTAAGGAGTGTGTTCCTCAAGATTTGAAAACACATTTAGAAGATAAGAATGTGAAAACTCTTGAAGAGGCAGCAGTCATATCTGATACTTATGCTCTGTCTCATAAAAAGAATTTTGTTTCAAGATCTCAGACTAGCAGTAATTCTACCAATTCAGACACATATAAAAAGAGTGGTTCAGGGTCTCAGTCTTTCACAAGTTCCCAGTCTCCATCCCAAGGTGGTTTTAAGTCCGGTCCAGGACGTTTTGAAGGATCTTCTGGAATAGGGTCGCTTCCTACTTGTAGTTATTGTAAGAAAAAAGGTCATCTGATCAGTGAATGCTTTAAACTTAAGAGAAAAAATGATTTTGATAAAACTCAACCACATGCTTGTGCGGCAGTTAGAGGTGATAGAGAAGCCTTAGTTTCGATTTGTTCTGACACTCCTGATGTCCAGGGTTCACAGTCCAGTTCTATTGATTCTATGGAGGATTATAAGCCCTTTATGTCTCAGGGATTTGTTTCACTCGGTGACTCTAGCGAAATAAAACCTGTCCAGATTTTGAGAGATACTGGTGCTGCACAGACGTTATTGTTAGAGGGCGTGCTTCCTTTGTCTGAGCAGACTTCTACTGGTGGGTCAGTTTTATTACAGGGTGTGGAGCTAGGCGTCATTGATGTTCCCCTGCATAGAATTAGTTTAAAGTCAGATTTAGTTACTGGACCTGTTATCGTAGGTGTTCGACCTACTCTTCCTGTTCCAGGCATTTCTTTGTTGTTAGGCAACGATTTAGCTGGTGGGAAGGTTGTACCTGATCCTATAGTTTGTGAGAAAATCAATTCAGATGTCATGTGCGATGATGAAGATGATGACATTTATCCAGCATGTGCTGTTACTAGAGCGATGGCCAGAAGACGAGAAATGGAGGCAGACCATACTAAAGCCTTTGACGAGACGAATTCCTCTGTTGATATTGATTTGAATGACACTTTCTTATCTGACCTTGATGGCACTCAAACCAGCATGGAACCACACAATATCAAGAAGCAAGAGAAGAAAGAATTTTTACCAAAATTTGGTGGTAAGGATGATGAGTTGCATCCATTAGTTAGCCAAGGCAAGGACATCCTCAGCCGAGAACGTTTACTCTCTGAACAACATATAGACCCAGATATCATTCAACTTAGTAAGAGGGCACTTCCACCAGAAGAGGCTATTAAAGTTGGAGAATGCTTCTATATGAAAGATGGCATCCTTATGCGAAAATGGCGACCACCTGACGCTTCTCCAGATGAAGTTCACCAGATAGTGGTCCCAGCTGCTTATCATCGAGATGTCATGAGTTTAGCCCACGATACACCTATGGCTGGTCATTTAGGTTTCAATAAGACTTATAATAGGATTCTGAGTCATTTTTATTGGCCTAAGCTAAGAAAGGATGTTTCGAAGTTTTGCAAGTCATGCCATGTCTGTCAGATGGTAGGTAAACCAAATCAGAAGATACCATCTGCTCCTCTCCAACCCATTCCAGCTTTTGAAGAACCGTTTAGTCGAGTGTTGGTGGATTGTGTAGGACCTTTGCCTAGGACCAGATCTGGAAACCAGTATTTACTTACCATTATGTGTACATCCACTCGATTTCCTGAAGCCATACCTCTAAGGAATATAAAGGCAAAGAGCATAGTTAAGGCCCTAACCAAGTTTTTCAGTTTTGTAGGAGCACCCAAGGCAATTCAGTCGGATCAAGGCTCAAATTTTATGTCGGGGTTGTTCCAGCAAGTCATGCATGAGTTGGGTATAAGGCAATATAGATCAACTGCTTATCATCCTGAGTCCCAGGGAGCGCTAGAACGTTTTCATCAAACCCTAAAAACAATGCTGAAGACCTATTGTTACCAGTATGAGAAAGACTGGGATGAAGGGGTTCATCTTGTACTATTTGCTGCACGAGAGGCAGTCCAGGAGTCTCTTGGGTTTAGTCCTTTTGAATTGGTGTACGGTCATACAGTTAGAGGTCCTTTGAAATTGCTGAAGGAAAAGTGGCTGACTGAGACTAGTGATCTTAATCTTTTAGATTATGTGTCTGATTTCAAAGAAAAACTTTACAATGCTTGTAAATTAGCACAAGAAAATTTGAAGAGTTCTCAGTTGAAAATGAAAATGTGGTATGACAAAGATGCTAGAAATAGGGTGTTTAAGCCAGGTGATAAGGTTCTTGTATTTTTACCTATTCCTGGTCATCCTTTACAGGCCAGATTTTATGGCCCTTATGAAATTGAAAGCAAGATTAGTGATGTAAACTATGTAGTTAAGACACCAGGTCGACGTAAAGAGAAACGGGTTTGTCACATTAACATGTTAAAAGAGTATTTTGAAAGGTGTGACCGAAATTCTGTAAAACCAGTTTCCACTTTAGCCAATGCTAAGACTGTTCAAAATTGTATTGAAAGTGATACGAGTGTAGAAATGAATGAGAAAGATTGTAATCAGAGTGTCCGCTTGAAAAACTCAGAAATTTTGGCTGATTTTGATGCCAAACTTGGACATTTGAACATTCACCAAAAAGAACAAGTTAAAAACTTGATGAATGAGTATCATCAAATCTTCTCGGATGTTCCAAAGAAAACTAATGCAGCTTGTCATGATGTCATAGTGAGTGACGTTCTGCCTATCAAACAACATCCGTACCGTCTGAATCCAATAAAATTGCAGTACCTAAGAAGGGAAGTGCAGTACATGTTGGACAATGACATTGTTGAACCTAGTAAAAGTGATTGGAGCTCACCGTGTATTCTTGTACCAAAACAGGACGGTTCGTACCGATTATGTACAGACTTTAGAAAGGTGAATTCTGTTACCAAAACTGATTCATATCCAATACCTAGAATCGATGACTGTATTGACAACATTGGAAACGCGAAATTTGTCAGTAAATTTGACCTGTTAAAAGGCTACTGGCAAGTACCGTTAACAGAAAGAGCAAAAGAAATATCTGCTTTTGCTACACCAGATGGACTTTACCAGTATAAAGTAATGCCTTTTGGCATGAAAAACGCACCGGCTACATTCCAAAGGATGATTCACTCCCTTCTTCAAGACCTTGAGGGATGCGAGGCCTACATTGATGATGTCGTCATATACAGCGACACATGGGACGAACATCTCCGAATCATGCGTGCTTTATTTGACATTTTAGCTAAAGCAAACTTAACTGTGAACCTTGAGAAGAGCGAATTTTGTCATGCTTATGTAGAGTATTTAGGTCATAAAGTAGGTCAAGGTTATGTTACACCCATTATGGCTAAAGTGGAAGCTATTGCAAAGTTCCCGATTCCTACAAACAAGAAAGAGTTAATGAGGTTTTTGGGCATGGCTGGGTTTTACAGAAAATTTTGTCCAAATTTTTCCTCAGTAGTTAGTCCGCTTACAAATCTTTTGCAGAAGAGGGTTAACTTTGAATGGACAAAAGACTGTGAAAAATCCTTTTATAAAATCAAATCTGTCCTTATGAGCAACCCAGTTCTGTCATCTCCAGATTTTTCTAAGCAGTTTAAGCTTACCGTTGACGCTAGTGATGTTGGAATCGGGGCAGCTTTGTTTCAAGAACATAGTGATAATGTAGATAGAGTTGTTTCTTATTTTTCAAAGAAACTTACAAAATGTCAACAAAAGTATTCCACCATTGAAAAGGAATGCCTTGCTTTGTTGTTAGCCTTACAGCATTTTGATGTTTATTTGAATGTTACTTTGCATCCAATTCTTGTATATACGGATCACAACCCCCTGACATTTTTGCATAAATTGTCAAACAAGAATCAAAGACTGACTAGATGGAGTTTGTTGTTACAAGAATACAACATAACAATTAAGCATATCAAAGGCAAAGACAATGTTATTGCAGACGCTTTGTCAAGAGTATCGTAAACATACTAGATTTTGTATTAATGTACAAAACTTTTATTTTAATAATATAAGTTTTCATTGACATTCAAACTTTTTTAAGGGGGGAGGTGTTGTGAGATGTGTTGTATTTGTATTGTTTCATCTTGTATATTATTAGTAACATTAAGTTTCTTGAACATTCCAGAGTGGTCAATATGTTTGGTCATTTTATCTAGAACATTCTTAAATTTTGTGTATGTCCAGATTGTTCCAGTAATATCATGTTTTAACAATTTCTAGAATATTCTAGATTTATGATACTGTATAAATACCCTGTCAATTCAATGCATAGATATACAATAATTCTGAATAGATTGTCGTATAAGCATCATTGAGGTATTACTGGGATATAATTTCACTGGGACATTGTGTGCAGCAACGGACACTCTGATGTATGTATTTTTAGATTTTTGCTAAGTTTGTACTTAATGATTTGTATATTACTGTAAATAAATTATTGTTAAGTTTAAACTGTGTGATTGATCTTTGCTGGCATTTAGGGTTATTCTGACCCATAACAGTATCTTGTCCAAATGTCTGGTTAGGTACCTTAATTTTTTGTGAGAAAAATTTGTTTCAATACCTATATGTCAGTAACGAATTCTCAGGAAAAATTATATATTTTTAAGGAACATGTGGTCTGACCGTAAATATTTAAGTCCATTAATAATTCATCCATTAATAAAAGCATGGTTTCTTTATACGTTTTTTCTTTTCCCTATCCGTTTTAGGAGGCTAACAATTTCATTAGCGAATGTGTATTTTGGGACTTTCAACTCAAGTAAGTGCTAAACAGTGATTTATTTTTTTCCAAACAAATATTAATATAAATGATTTCATATAATGTCTGGTAAAATATTAAATATATATTACAGTAACGGAACTGGTGGTTGGTCAACACCAGGGTGTAAATTACTATCTACAGATGATCTTTATCATCACTGTGCATGCAACCATGTGACAAATTTTGCAGTACTGATGCGACCATATTCAAAGGTATGAATTGAAATATCGTTCGTATATTGATACGACAATTTCACAGTGTAACAAAAAATAGTATATTCTGATTATCACACTATAGAAAGAATAACGTCAAAATATTATCTTTAATGATTGAGATAGCCCTTTCATCTTTACAGATACAGGACGAAGAAGTAGCATTGAATTGGATTTCCATAATTGGTTGCTCGATATCAATCTTCCTTTCTTTGCTGACGGCCATTATTTACATCTTTTTCTGGAAGTGAGTGATTAAATAAAAAATCTGCGATCACTAGATATTTTACAATGTTTTTTTTTGTTTTTTTTTTTGTTTGATTATTGTATAAAATCCCTCTTAATTTTGACGCTCATATGAGGAATCTCATTTAAAAAAATTTTTGTAACGGGGCACTTAGGACCATTTAGTAGTGAGGCATGTCTTTCGTGTCTGCATATGGTCTATTGTGACAGGGGAACTAGTTTTATACGGCTTCATCCAAAAGACCAGTCTCTGTGGTCCACAGAGGGATTCGAACCTGCGGATCAACACCTTACAACCTGACTCTAGAGTAGATGTTTTACAATTAAGCGCATTAAAGTGGTTTTTTTTTTTTTTTTGTTTTGATGAAACGTTCTAAGTCATGTATTGAACGTCAATTATAGCATAACAACACGCTCATTTCTATAGAAATGAAAAGATATTGTAATGTTTTAGGACACCTCATTCTTATAGCAATAAGCAGCATGAGGTAGGCTGAAATGGATATTTTTCAAGTTATAAGAGAGAGTTAAAGAGTTCCGACTTCTGAAAAGCACATATTGAAACAAATTTCTACATAGTTATGAATTTATCATGTTAATTTGAGTTACCATGAAACATGTATGAGTCGAACACATGCTTACTTGGTGTTTATGTAGAACGTCAATTTGATTGGCTATTATATTTTTGCATTCAAATAAACAAAGTGTCCCGCGTTTTTCCTTACTAAAGAAAGGTGAGTCATTATATGAAAATCAACTTCCTATTGAAGATAGGTCAAAACGTTCCATTCACACGGAAAATTTTGCCACTTCCATGCGCTTGACTGTACTTCTGTGCCACGTGGAAGACTTTTTACTAAACTATATGATAAATCAGATTATACCACAGAAAGACATAACTTGCATTTGCATTCTTCCTTTACAGGTCTATTACGGTCAACGTCAACCAAATAATAAATAAGATCATAGTGCTTCTCTGCTTGAGTCTCTCTTTGGCTTACACGCTATTTCTAATTGGAGTTGATAAAGTACAGAATGAAGTAAGCTTTTGATTGATTTTTATGAAAGAATTTCATTATTTTAAGAGTGGTTAAAATCTTACCCTTTGTCTTACAATTAAACCTTACATTATTAACCTTTATACATGTAATGTTTTGGTTATAATTTATATATCTCAATAAACTGAAAAAAAAGATACCACAGAATCTTAAAAAAACTATTTCATTATTTGTGTACTTCAATAAAAAAGATGGACTGTAATAGCAAATTAACGATTTTTTTTCTGATATGTCAGGTATCCATATTTGCTTACAATGTTTTACTTATAATATTTGTTTCAACAAACTTTTGAATTTGATCATCGTTTCATTATGTCCATAAATTTCAATAGGAAAAAGTACTTGTCCAGGTAATGAGCGTAATCTTCTTTAAACTTTTTTTCAGGTCGGGTGCACTGTCATAACAGCACTGTTACATTATCTTTTCCTATTTATTTTCTTTCTGATGCTGGCCCTTGGGTGTCACTATTTCAGCAGTATCTCTCTGGTCAAATTATCACTGTCTAAAGCAACAGCACTTCAAAGCCATGCCAATGCTTTCGGTAAAGTCACGTGGGTAGTTGTCACGGGTGAGTATAGCATAAAGTGTCTGCCATAATGAAAATAGAATGGATAACAATATCTGTGACAAGTCATCTAGAATGTGAATAAAGATAATCGTAAATATTTTTTAGTTATACCACTTACCATAACCGCAGTTACTTTCGGAATCGTATATTCCTCGGGCAAGGACTATCATTTACAAACCAGGTACGTACATTTAATCTCTTAATTCAACACTTTGATTTTAATATTCACATTTAAAATAAAGCTTTCTAATCTTCTTGAAAAGTCGTTTAATATTATTATTTTATAGTTGCTGGTTATCATTTGAAAGTGGAGCTTTGTATGGATTTATTGGACCCGTAGCTGGAATTATTTTGGTAGGAAGTTGTCATTTTACATGATTTTATTACGTCATTAATTCCGACTCTACAAATTAAAATAGTTTTCAATATTTTAATATTTTGGAATATTTTACATATTTATATTGAAGCAGAAGTGCAGAACATAGCCAATTGTTATGAAATACAAGTAATTATTTTTAATTTTAGGTCAATATTATAATTGTAATCAGTCTCATTCTGACGCTATATTCAACACTTTCCTCAGAAAAAGAACTGAAGAAAAGGACAATGTAAGCCGGAATGAATACATATCCAGGATTTTCTGAAAATATCGCTTTTAAAAATCAATTCTAGTATTATTCGTGTGTATATCAAGGCAAGAATTATGCTTTCAATAAGAATATGGTATATTAGCGGGAATCTTTTTTTTTCTAATGAAGATTTATTTTTATGATAAATAAAATGTTATGCAAATT